CTACGTGGTACATAAACTACAGGCCCACGACCTCCACCTTCGTCTACACGCAGTTCTCTAATTTTTACGCGCTGCACAGTAATTCTATCATTTGTGTCGTCAACTTGTGTATGTGCTTCAAAGGAATCATTACGTATGCAGGTGGGTAGACCCTACCGCTGTTTCACGTGTCTGGAATCAATACGCTCACAAATACGTTGGATATTTATGTCCTAATTCAACGCCGGTGTGGCTTACTGGGTAGTAAGCAACGTCTTTGTGTGTTTTTCATTTTTATTATCGTTCATGCTTTTTTATTGTTTAATAAAACTCAGTTTCTAATCCTGTATCAATATCAATTCAACCAGAATCATATTTAAGAAATGTGGAATAGTGATTATATCGTGCTTAATTCGGTTCAGCTTCTAATAAATTCTTCTCAAGTTTTAATTCCTGTCAAACCGATTAGATGTCATAAATATGTAAATCGAAACCATTAATATAATATACACTTTCATTCTTTACTTCCTCTTCATCAAAAGATCTTCCGAAGCCGAGGAGCAGAACCGGAACTTATATCCTGCCGGTGGTTCCCGCGCTGAATAATTCATGGCGCGTCGAGTCGCGTGCGCATTGATTGACGGTGGATTGGTGAAACTGATTCTTTGAACGATGACATCAGTAACTATACCTATAGGAGTATAGGAGTTGTAACGGTCTGAGACGGGTTTGGGAGTGCCACGAGAACTTTTCAGTGATTGTATCCCTCTTAGATAGATATGAAAGTTGGTCGTGTATGAAGTATTGCCATTCTGGAGTGGTGTTAATAGGGTGTTTTAAAAAACATAATGTAGTTAGATCACTACAACAAAATATTGACGTGTAAATAGTGTCACCAATCATATCTTATGATCAAGGTTTATTAACAACAATGTCGTTATGTGATGTAGATCACTCCAACCAGTTCACGAGGACAGCTTTAATACTAGCATATTATTTTTATCTGTAGGTATGTGTGAGTGTAACAAAAAATCCACGATTTGCAACAATTTTGATACTGCAAACATCAGTGACGTAGTCACAGTTCCGTCATACGTCACTTTAATGAAAGCGATTCTTTGAAATGACTTTGGGAGTTCCCAAATACAAACTGGAGTTATCTTCCACGCATCATTGATAATAATTCAGTGAATCAATGGTAATGCGTCGAGCTTTAATACTTTGGAGCTGACTTCATACAGAATAAAACCCTATGTAGTCAGAAAATAGTTACTCATGCATTTAAATTGGAAGATTTCCGGTCTTGATAACTAGGGGTTTTTGAGGTAATTTTGTGCAATAGCAACACATATAGTTCAATATATAGAAATAGAGTAATGCACACGTCAATGGTCAAGTGGAGTTTTAAATTAACTTGTTTCAAAAGAGGTAACTAGTTGTCATAGAACCATTTACATTAGTGAGGTCAAAATACTAGGGAAACATAAAACCCTAGTTCAGACAACCGAACAAGCATAAAGAAAAAATACTTAACGAGACTGCTGCAAGAAAACTCGTAATCACGGAATAATTTATCGGTTAAATCGATTGCTGGAACAATAACAACAGTTGTGGGAATAATGAATATGAGAATCTGTTTAGACTAGTCGCTGTGTGTGGTGTGTACTTACGACTATCATTGACTGGTAGAACTTTCTGCGAATGCCGTATTAGGAAAGTCACGAGTGAAGACAAACTACAACACGTAGTTAGATCGGGTTGGTGTTGTTCTGGGAGTCGATTCGGCTATTTGGTGAAAGAAATATTTTCTTGTTGCAGAAAACTTAAAATCTGCCTACCTACAAGTAACAACAAGACACTGAAAGATATCTTAACACTAAAGTTAACAACATTATCTCATGTTTTTTCCTCAAAGTTTCGTTACTAAAGTGCGGCATTTCACTTGACTTGCTTGATACATTATCATCATCATCATTATGCCAAGTCGCAAATGGGACATTTGGTGGTGCCATTTACTTGACATGATCATAACTGAAGACTTGCCGCCACAAACGAATAATGACTACTTAAGTCAAATTATCTTCTGTCACTTCAACAGATATATTGCCAGCAATTTATTCTTGAAGCAACAACAATATTGTCATGTCATCGTTTTCATACAAATTGCTCATCAAAATATCACCGTTTAATCCTCATTACTGGTTGCTACAATCGTCTGTCAGTCTTCGGACAAGTATGCCTTTGCCTTTGTGAGATGATGGACGTATGAATTGAATGTTCGCATATATGCGTAGCCTGATATAGTACCTACCGTGGATGAAGCGGTTTGAGAAATCCCTCGCTGGAGGCATTGAAATCTTTGAGACTTGTGTAGAGATGTTGAACCTTTTGCAACGCTTTTACAGCGTTAGGTATACCGGAAAATCCTATACAAATAAGTAATTCGCAATGGTTCATTGTGGATGACATACGTGCTGAAGCTTTAATCTTTAAACTGTCAAACACCAAGCGGTCACCGGTGACCGCAACCTATTGTTCTTTAATTGTGTCTATATTGACGGTGCTCGACGAGTTAAATACAAACAAAAAGCAAGATAAATGTCAATTAAAAAAGACACATTGAAAAGCCTTCCACAACGCAATAAATACAAAAGGGTTATTATCCATCGTCGATACAAGTCTGATGAAACTGGCTTCATAATTTTGTGGGACCAGTGAACCAGTCGTTAAGTCGGAGGCGTGGTCGTAGTCAATATATCACCAGAGGGTACGGCGACATTTTCTTTAAATTTAACATCGTGTGCTCGTTCTGTCATGGCGCTCAAATTATTAGTACTTAGGTCGAGGGGTGGAGCGAACTTATTAGCTGAAAGTTGAGGATTGGCTTTTAAAAGAAAAAATGGAAATATACTTGGCAGTCTTGTCAAAAATCTTTACGCTATTCACAGTATGTTTTCGGTGCTTTTTCCAGAATTTCTTTTCTTCTTGCATTTCCTTTCTAATGTACGAAGGTTTGAAGTTTCAATATTTCAAAGAGGTTGTACGTCTCGTACCAAAATGGTTGCTTGTGTTGCGGGTCACGTCGCACCTCCAAATGGGTATGGTGTGACGGGGAGGCATGGGAAATACGTTACATGAAGGTCGTCTTCTGACTACGGTGGTTGTGAAGATGTAGGCATATTGTATGTTGCTTTAGTGGTCTCATTTTTACTTCATTCAACAGGAGATCTAGATAATCTTTGCTGATTTTATTAGTCAGATTAGCACATAACTAATACAACCATGAACAGAAGAAAATTTTGTAATTTTTAACATATTTCAAAAAGAAAAAAACTGATTTTCAGTTTGACCTGTACGCATGTATGTATGTTTGTGCGCGATTATCTCGCTGTTGGCCAAACCGATTTTTATGCGGTTTTCAGAAAAGGGTTGGTTACACTTGGGATATAGATTAACTTCCAAAGCAGAGGAGGTTGAAGTTGGCTTTTTTAACGTATTTTATTAAAATAATTCTTGTATATCTACCACAATAAACACAAGAAAATTATCTCGAACAACAAAGCAATAAATACTGTGGTTCATTTGTTACAAATTTCTGTCTTCCTGTTCTTTTTTATACGAAACGGAATGGAATTCAGCGGATATCCATAAATCAATCGATTCTGGATGTTGACGCTCCACATTTTAGCCGGCATGAGATCGATCTTATTCTTATGGTAATACTGTTTTACTGGGTCAAAGAGTCGAAGAAAAACTATTTCAGCTGGATGGCTAGATCGCTTCCCGACATTCAAGTTGGCTAAGTGAAATGGGACAAAGTAAAGCTTTTATGTTTAATGTGCCTAAGTTGGACTAAGTTAACTATAGATGCGATATCAAAGGCCAAGAGTCTACACGACTTGGTTACCGACCCGTTTGTTATTTACGGACTTTAATTATTTTATGTTATGTTATTCAAGGGCTTTTTTCTCATGACACAAGTAAATGTCACACACTATTTTACTTTTAAATATTTATCAAGAAAATGATGCTTACGATCAGTCAGCCGTGCGTCGGTTGCGACAATTGTGGCAATTTTTGCGCAATTATCGTTGATTTTGATTGATTGGTTAATTCTGGGTATGCCTTTAAGTCATTTGCAACGGATGCAAACAACGACTAACTTGTCCAATTCGTCTCACTGAATTGAGTTAATGAACGTAACTAAGAAAACAATTTCCATCTTAAAATGGAGTTCGAAATAATTCACACTTCGAATATACTTGCTTGGTATTTGATATAGGAAGAGGACTTTCATAGACTTCAGTCTTAATTTTAATAGGCATTTGATGTTTTCTTACTCTACTAAAGAATCTGATTTCTTAAACAGCGTACAGTCTTTTATAGTCTTCAAATCTCCTTCAAAAATATACCAAACACGAAATTGATACTAAAGCGGTTGCCCAAAACCCCAGTAATAACAAACCTCCTTTTAACGAAATGTATTTGTATGGCCCAACCCGGTCTATATTTGGCCTAACACTTCTAAAACTCGGCCAGACGACTTGAAATAACACGAGATCGATTTATGGAGCTTTTGCATGTGAACTGCTACCAACACGAGAGGGAATAGGAAACGTAATGACGAACCGGGTCAAGGATCGGACTTGATGCAAATGCTAATAAAACAATCTACATAACATCACTTGCAGTGCCTCGGGGTGTGTAGTGAATTTACGGAAACTGGATTAGGTTTATTTTTACGTTGAAACAGAAATTCTGTAGTTTCATGTCAAGGTATACAAGTAAGGCTTTCACTGCCAACAGAATTTTTTATAGGCAAATTGATGCTTTTAATTATTGTACTCTCAGAATGTTGCGTCTAAAATTCTTTTTTTTTTATATCAAGTGAAGCTGTGATACCAATTGAAACAGTTGTTTCAAATGTTTCATTACATAATCTTTTGCCTATTTAACTAAAACACTCGTTTCAAAATCCTGTAGTTCATATTACATTAACAAAATATGTTTGTAATTTCCAGTGTTACTGAGCGAGGCTATCCTGCCGGATGACCAGTTGGAGGACAAGACTCTCAAGATCACAGACTTCGGTCTGGCGCGGGAAGTGTACAAGACCACCAGGATGTCGGCCGCGGGAACATACGCGTGGATGCCGCCTGAGGTGAGATCAAACTTTTAATGCTAATCCTGCATGACAAGTCACTGGGAACATTGCTGTTGCATCTATGATGACTTTGACTAGTTGAAGCGGCAAATCTTTGACCACTTGTTAATGTTCTTACCGAAAAAAAAAAATATGCAAGAATATTGAGCCAACTATAGATTAACATTAAACGGACGTCAACTATAACCGAATTATGTAAATTCGCAAAGCTTAATAGGTTTTTTTTATCTTAAAACAAAGTGGTAACCAAACCATGCAGGTACTTAACTTTTTTCTAATAAAACATGTCAAGTACCCAAGTATGTTACTCCCACGTAAATCAAGGTGAGACTGGCAGATCGAAATCAATGCCCACACCGCGTGGCCGTGGACTAAAATACGTTAGTTATGAATTAATTACTGCCGATACACTATCGATAGTTCTCTCCATTGTTCGACACCCGCGTGAGGCTCTTTTGTACTTGTGCTTCGAAAGTGGTTTGGTCATTAATAGGAGAGAGATCTCTAACTGCGGTTATCGGTATGTTGTACAAAAACTTTATATTCTTTACATCTTGGATCCTGTTGTAGTTTATTTTATTATTATTTATACCACAAAAGTAAGTATTTTATAATGTAAGCCTCACAAATCCGTTGCAATGGTTTGACTGTGGGGTCGAGTCGCTAGACATTACAATTAAATGTACAGTTTATATTTAAATGTTATACAGGCGTTGAAACTTATACTTATTATTAGGACATTTCTAAATAATAATATATATATTTTTGTAACTTTAACTTTGGTCATGTCATTGTGTGTTGAATCGAATGCTCAATTTTAATGCAGTACAAACTTTCACTGTTATTTCAAACTCAAGTTATTTATTTCATCAACTTTCAAGTTATTTGTTTTTTTAAAGTCCTGGACCTCCTAGTACCTACATGACCTCGCTACGAAGATCCTCATGTGAGATTTAATGTAAATTCTTAATCTACAAATTCCTATAAACATTTTGTTTTTTGTCCATATTTGAGGTCTTAACCTTACTTTTCGCATTCGTGCATATCACCAATCATTCCCCTTCAAAATGCAATGAATTTGATGAGTAATCAGAGCAATCTTTATCAGCATAGAAACCCATACACCCATATCACATTACACAAATTCTTCTTATCCACAGCACTAACGAAGCTAATCTTACGTTGCAGGTGATAAAACACTCGACGTTTTCCCACGCGTCCGATGTGTGGTCCTATGGCGTGTTGCTATGGGAACTGCTCACGGGAGAGACGCCGTACAAAGGTATAGACGCGCTGGCCGTGGCGTATGGAGTAGCTGTCAACAAGCTCACGTTGCCCATACCTAGCACCTGTCCTGAACCTTGGAGAGTGTTGATGGAAGGTAAGGATTTGGACAAGATTTTTTATTATCAGATATGATTATATTCTGTAACCGTAGATTTGGTAAGTAAGGGTTGTGTTGAAGATGTTGATATCAACATCTAGATCCTTAAGAAAAACAATCTCATACATTTAGATCCTAAAGCTGCCTTAAGAAAGGATTTATAAATGATATGTTAATACTAGTGTTAGTATGGGTTTGCATTAAAATTTGATTGAAAATATCTTTCGACGAACAGTAAGGACCACAGAGTATCTTTAGTTTGTTTTAAAATCAATACATACCAAACGAATGTGTAGGAACCTTAAGAAGTTAAACTTCTTCATCACGGATTTATCATTAGATAGTTTTTTTAACAGTTCTATGGCCATGTTTATGTACCTAAGTATTAACCGTAAGATTTACTTTCTTTCCAGCGTGTTGGCGATCAAACCCTCGCGAGCGTCCTTTATTCCCCGAGATCTTGGAACAGCTAGAGAAGATCAGACAATCGGAGTTCACGCGCGCCCCACACGAATCCTTCCACACGATGCAGGACGGATGGAGACTGGAGATCGAGGAGGTACTCCGAGACCTCAGGAGAAAGGAGAAGGTATGCTTATATAAGTATAGGCCACCAGGTTCTCAGGGTACCCTAGGCCGTCTAGAATTTCGACTTTATTTGTTACTGAATAAGGTTGGAAATTTATTAATTTTAAGGAGGGTTGGTTTATTTATGTGCTGGTACAGTCCACACTGCTGTGAATAGTAGAAATGCTCTTTTCTTGTAAATATCCCATTTCTGACTCACTAAAAATGTTGTTGAGGTCAATACACTAACTATAGCATATTAACTTCATACTTAAAAGTAACAATGTTTCATTTAAACTCAGTGTCACTTAGTTATCCACTCTGTAAATTGAATCTAGAGCTGGTATGCACATTTTCCTATGCAAACCTTCTTGCTTAATCTTTTTCACAAAAATAAACATTGGAATAAATCAATTGGCATAAATATTATTTAACTTAACAGCTAAAGTGAGGGAATATTCGCCAAGAATGCTCATGTATCATCGTTTTCACAGTAACCTATTCATCTATTTATTCATTTGACTAATTGTATTGTAGTTTAGAAATATATTAACTACATCGTAGTTAAAACTAACATTATTGACTCTTTGTATACTAACAACTAATATACATTGTATTTTCTCACGATGCTTGCGGATAGGAATGCAAAACTATAGAGGAGGTTAGTGATTCGTGTTTCTAGTTTGTGTTGCATATTTATAGAACTTTTAAAGCTTTTGTCGTTTATTGTAGTATGTAATGTAAGAATGTATGGAGACGATCACACGACGATCTAGGAACCAGGGGAAGTACTCTGAATGATCTCTAATGATGGGAGGAAATCTTTTAAAGGCGGTTAGATTTTGGGGTGTTAGACCAGGGTTAGTAGGTTTTTACCTCACTCCACCCCTGTGGCTTCAAATATCTTGGGGGCAGCCGCATCTCTTCATCATCATTCTACACGACGACAGTTCTTTACCCATAATTCGGATGGTTGCTTTAGTAATCAACATCTGTGGTTTTTAACCGACTTCAAAAAAAGAGGAGGTTCTCAATTCGACCGTATATAATTATGTTTTTTTTTTGAGATATTTTGTACCTTCTACCTCACACAACAAAACTGTAAATTGTCTAATGTTTGCAGTATGTCCGAATTATATTCAATTTTTTTTATTTCGTATCGTGTTATCGTCTCTCTATGTTCGTAGTAGAATGTAGTATAGTTATTATTATATCTGTAAAACAGATTTATGAATAATATTCCATGATTATGTATTACGAAGTATGTATACATAATTTATTTGTGTAACTAACATATTATAATTAAATGTAATATAAATATTGCTTTTTGAAATACCGGGAGCATGATTAGAACGCCAATATTAATTTTATGTTAAGATTTTTTTTTTTTAAATAAAACATTGCCCACACTAGGATTTTCTCCTGTGTCGTGGGTGCGTTTACAAACATACAAGTTCATAGTACACAATGCTTACCTATTTACTGAGTGTCTTATACATATTGTATATTATATTATACAAAAACCTATATAACCAAATTTCTAATATAAAGATTGTATTTTAATCATTTGTTGTTTACTAATGTCATAGTGAACAGACCTACTTCTTAAGTCATCTATTAACTCTTTATAATTTTATCTTTCCAGGAGCTTCGATGCCGAGAGGAGGAGCTGACTCGTGCCCAACTTCAGCAGCGTCTGATGGAACAGAACCTCGCGCAGAAGGAGAGGGAGTTGGAGATGAGAGAGATCGACCTCGTCGCCAGGGAACTTCACATACTGATTTTCGCGAGCAATATGTCCGCTAACCAACCGCCACAGCCTAATAAACGGAAAGGTGAATATTTTATGCGTGAATTTATTAATAGAAAAGTAATAAATTAAAAGTGACCTTAACTGACGAGGGTGCATGAAAAGACTGATGACTGTTGGTGAAGCGAAAGCAGTACATGTATGTAAGAATCGTAGCAATTGGCGTTCTATAGTCTCTGTCTACCCCAATGGGAGACAGGCGTGAAGTTATGTATGTATGTAGCAAATTGAAAGATGTAAACTTAGACTAATTGAAAGATACCAATATAGACTATAGACTTCCCAAAAATTAGGAGGTTTTTTATGAATATGGATACACACTTCTTGCGGTAGGGAATCTCAATCACAACTAGCCAACAAGCATGCCCTCTTAGTCTTGATCCGATAACGAGTATTGACCTAAACGGTGAAGAGTATTCAGGCCGTAAGTTATTAATGAATGAATGTAAACCTTCAAATAATAACAAACATCAAGAAGGATAAGGTTTCTTTGATAATTTGCAATGGAGATATATCCAATTTCATTCAAATCAACTTTTGCATATTTCCTAATACTAATGCCCTGGGTTTTCTCCAACACCGCATGAGTCAGCTCGTTGACCTACTGACACGATTTGAGCACATTTTCGGCCTTGGTAATGATTTCATCACTGTCATAGTCAAGGCTATGCAAACCTTGAATGTTGCGAAACTTAGCTTGTGGTCTGCTTTATATGTCAGGTGAGGTACTTATTATACGATAGTATTATCATTATAAGTGTCTACCATGTCGCAACCACGGATGTTATGTCGAAACGATATTCGTGTACGTTTTATTAATGGGTACACAAATAACTTCATATTTAAATCTTAACATGGATGTTTTCTTCTGTCATATTGGCTCTTATAATTTTTATTCTTCATTTTACTCAGTAGTTCGGTTGTTATTTATGTTCCTTTATTCAGTTGTTATATAATGTTATGTATTATTGGTTTTTCTCGTTAATTAAGGTCATCAAAATTACCAGTAGGAGATTTTTTATGTATCATTCCTGTATATTGTTCCAGGCAAATTCAGTAAGATAAAGCTGCTGAAGAAGGACACGATCTCGTCTCCGCTGGACTTCAGGCACACGCTGACGGTGCGACCCTCGGAGGATGAGTCCAGCGTCAAACAGCTCGTCGCCGTCGCCAAGGACACGCCGCCAGGATCGCCCGCCATCATGAGGGCTATTGCCCGTATGTATACTGTCATAGTTTTGTAGCGTGTGTTATAGACAATTTTTATCAATTAAGTATAACGTCTTAAAACTACAGTTACACAAGTGAACAAACAAAATAAGAGAAAGTTTGAGAGCAATCACAATAACTGTGATCATCTACCAAGCATAGGAAGTATAGACCTTTTCGGTCGATGGTGGTGTTGCACAAAATAATCATAATAGTATAGGTATGTGTGACCGTGCGTGTTACGGTTGCAGTGCCCGCGGACGGAGTGAAGGGCAAGACGTGGGGCCCGTCGACGGTGCACCAGCGCTCGCGCACGCAGCTGCCGCTGGGCGCGGCGGCGCCGCTGCCCCGGCCGCGACACGCGCGCTTCAGCAGCTCCGCGCCCGACCTGCCGCCCGCCTCCCGCACAGGTAACGCCCGGCGCCGCGCCGCGCCCGCCGCGCCCGCCGCGCCGCGCAAGCGCAGCGGCTCGCACGACGACCTGCTCTACGAGAACATCGAGCCGCGCCGCAACCGCTTCCTGCTGTGCCCCATGTTCGCGTCCAACGCGGACCTGCCGCACCACTACGACGCAGTCTTCGACGTCCCGCTCGAGCGCTCGCTCGACCGCTCACTGGACCGCGCGCGCCGCAAGCCCGTGGGCTCCAAGGGTTCCAGCAACCTGTTCAAGACCATCCGCTCCAACAGCCTGGCCGGCCTACTGGCCGTCGCCGGCAGCCTCTCCTCCGATACCACGGAGTTGCTTCGAGACGAATAGTTTGGGCTAAAGTTTCGGGCACCGTGCGCGTTCCAAAACTAAATCGAAAAATAAAGAAAGTAACGGTGCTAATGTATCAATGGAATTGTTCCAGTAATTTTTTGTTACTACCTATCTGTGGACAGTACAAAGATGTTGCCATATTAAATACATATCATTTCTTACTAACATTCCGCCATAATGCATTTGATGGATTTGATTCCTTTTTGTTAAGTCAAAGTACTCTCCACCGTAACAATATATGTAGCAACAACACTAATAACTTTATCCCAAACTATAATTTCGAAACGAGGTCGATATTCTGTTAGGTATTCCCATGTCTACGAAATCACGACTCCATATTAAATTCGAATCGACGCGAACTATACCATTTTTCGAAAGTTACGAACACAAATCTCGCACCAAATCGGCTGATACGTCACTCTATCTGTAAATATGTTACTTATTAGATAATGTGTTGTTAAGTTCCAAGGATTTGATTTTAGTCGGTAGGATTAGCTGATAAGAATTTAAAAAAGACTTATTTTTTTCTAGCGTTATTTGTTTAGTCGTACAAGTACCAGTGTTTGTCTCCTTTTACGTAAAACGACTTTTACCGCGGTAAACTAATGTAAAAAATTAAATTAAAGTGTTTTTGATATTCAGTAAAAACGTAGCAATATTATTATTATTTAGGAATGTATAGTTTGCCGTGGTAAATAATCCTATTCTACACGCTTACGTTGGCAATTAAAACGATTGATTTGAGATCTGGTTATTACAGTAGTACATCATCTATTAATTAGTTTGAAAGATTTACTGTTGTTTGGCCAAAAATATATTCTAAACATTTCCAAGAAGATCTCTTCAGAACTGAGATGTTCCCAAATATCACTGCCATTTAAAAGTACATATAGTTTAATTATTTGTGTTTTAACACTTGTTTTTTTGTGACTAATCTAATCGCTATATGTGATGTTATAATTGAACAAATTTCTTGTAATATAATTACTACTACGTAACATTCCTAAGAACCTGAAGTTTTGTAGACGCCTATCTTATGATTAAATTTTAAAGTTCATAAGCATTCTTCATGCATAAGTCTTCTACATATATAAATATATGTTTTGAAACGAGGTCCAAGCATCACTGGCTGACTGGCTGATTGACTGCGAAACATATCTATTTTGACGTTTCATAAGCATCTGTTGAACTCACATGAGTTCATTGAAAAGAAACTACATTTTTTAAAAAATTAATTATACCCAAACACGTAACTATACAATAACATTCTATGAACGTACTCGTATGCAATTCACAATTATAAACATTTGTTTTTGGCCAAACAAATAGTCAAATAGATATCCAGCATTTAGGACGAGGAAGATGAACGATAGACAAACTAGTAAATAATTTATCTCTTAGTTAGTAATCGTTAAGTTACGTCTATTTAAATTTAAAAAAAAAACTACGTTACTGTGAATTATTCGACTGACCGCGAACTTAGGTTTTTGGATCTTGCCAAATTTTAATAAAAAAATAAATATGTCAAAAAGAAAATAGAAAACTTTTTCTTTATGATGGATTTATTTGAAAAGGGAAACGATAGACAAATTTTTCGATTGTTTCTTTTTAGTAAATTCTTTGTTTAACGTCCACCATTTTGTTTTTTTTTTTCGCTGCGCTAAAGGAACTTCTCAAGACAACTTGCTCTATCCTTGTGAGTATATTATTTTCTTAATTTAAAATGAACGCGTTCTAAATTAGTATCGAATTTGTACTATTGAGACTGGCCATACATAGTTTATAGACACCAAATTAGTCATTAAAACACTCTTCACCATCAAATTTCATATTGAACTTAAAGAAATCGTATTGTCTCTGTTACACATACGTTCTTTTGCAACGACTAACAGAGATAGCACTATAGATTCTTTCCAAACGTGTTTCAATATGTAATTTCATGCTTAAATCTGAACTTTTATTATTTCATTAGACAAATTACAACAGTGTAAATATAAACTGTTATTGTTGGGTTTTTTATATTCTAAATTAAGTCAAATATTTGTCTAATGTTCTAATAATAGTCAGCTACATTTTATTATGCGTTTTTTGTCGATTATTTGTCATTTTTGCATGACCCATAGTTACATTATTCCTAGTATATGAAAATTACACGTCAGTCTCAATTGCCTGGATTAGAGCGCGTTCTGTACGTGTCACAAACTCGTTGGCAAGTTGTGGCAATTGTAAGGGAACACTAGTATAAGTTAGGTAGTACTGTTTGGAATTGATTGTATCATGTTGTTGTGTCGACCGTGTGGTACTCTGTATGCTAAGTATAGCTCTTTGTTTACTTTATTATGCCATGCCGCGGCCAGTCCACGACGCAATAACCTCAAAATGATTGGACCTTCTATTAAAGACAATAGAAGCGGCAGACATATTGTTTTAACGTTTGAAATTGGAACGTTTTATTTTTCTTTTGTCGTCGACTGGCCGCCTCATAGAGCAGAGTTTGTAATTTTTATCATTACAGTAATCTATAATCAGTTTTGATTTTTTATATTTATATTTTTTTTTTCGTTTGTAAATTGTAAGCATTTGTTTGCTTTCAGCCAAGTTTTTTTTTAATTTTAAACACGTTATCTATAAGTGCTATGCATGCTTACCAGTTCATAGTATATGCTATATACAGTTTTTAAGATATATATGTATCTGTTGTACTTACTTATTTGTTAGTTATATAAAATTCGCTTTTATCACCACGTCATATGGCACGCTTTCAAATGTTTACAATGATTCCGATATCTAATAACGTGTATTTGGATGTCTATATGATTTTGTAGTGCAATAGAATTTGTGTTTGGTAGATAGAATTTTTCGCTTGTTTATTTTAACGTCCGACATATAAAGCTCAAGAAATATTTTTGATGAAATCATATAGGAATCCAAGTGTTAGTAGCGATGTACAGAATACGGACTGTATCCCCTGTAACATTCAGTAACAATGTTCTTGGCGGTGGTGGCAATAAGTATTACTATACGAAATACCTTATATCGAGAGGCTCACGTCACATCACGGCATGTCATAAGGCAAAGGACTGCGCGTATGTCCCGACTTAAAGCTAGAAAACAGGACTCTCCGTTATTCAATTTTCGACCTTATTGAAGTCTTTGTTACAAGTTTTTTTGGTAGATTTTATTCTTTCGAATTGGGATTTTATGTGACGATTTTAAATTCTGAGTTAGCTTGTTGTTGTTGTCGTTGGGGACGCAGTTAGTATTTTTTATTACTATGTTTTTTTTGAAATTGGGGTTTGTATACCGGCCGGGACATACGACAGCCTAACCTCGACAATATTATAAGACGCTCGAAAACCAATATGTAAAATAGATAGCTCTTCGGTGATCTGGTTCTTTCATAGTTATATAGATTCTTTTTATATATCAAATAAACCTTTTCCATAAAATCGAAATTGGTGTATTTTTTTAACATGGGTCTACTAATCATTAGTTACTAACACGATCCCCTTAACATTGAACATCGAGAGCCATAGACTACAAAGTTACGAGTACAGATAATAAATAATAGAACAGATTAAACAAACCGGTGTTGGACGCGCTTACGCTTGCTCACTATGGCTATCCTAATCGGGACAGGTTGAGAAATTATAACAAGAATATTATTTATTAACAAAATGATATTTTCCGATTTGTTATAATAAGTTTAAAGTGTTATACGATTTATTTGCACAATGTAAGTATGATAGATTCTTTGATTTTATTATTATTTTGTTTGTTATTTATCATTTTTTATTGCTTTTTGTTTGAATGAACTGTTTGGCATGTATAGTATGAATCGTTTGTTATTCTTGCATGGTTATTAACGAAAATAGAGGAAGAATGAATGATTATTATTTTTATATATTTTCAAGGTCCTTTTATCATTATTTTTCCTCTATTTTTCCATTCAATATCGTTTATATATTAATGTTATACACTGATTCACTTCACACTTTGCTGTTGATTTGAATATGTTTATTTCCTTGTATATAACAGTGTATAAATAGCTATTATGTACTGACTGCGTAGTTTTGATGTGAAATATTAGACTCTAATACTTTTTGATAACGTTCACTTTCCATTGATTGTGACTAAGCTGTATAATTTTCATATTTTAGTTATTTATTGTAGATTTAGACTTAGGATTTATTTCTTGTTTCTTACTTAAATGATAGATTTGTTATTAGATATTTATTCTAATGCATTGATGTCATAAATTGTAATTGACTATCAAATACTTATGTTATTAATAGTGCTTATTATTGGCATGCGTTGATAAGTTCAAGACAACTTACAACCTGTCTATTTTAAGAATTTCCATGTCATCTCTAGTGGCTTCTTAGTATTTTTTACCAAGAGTTGGATGCCAAACGCTTGAAAGAGATTTTTATAATAACATCACACAAGGACTAAATTCTCTTACTCATGCAATCTCTTGCGTATGTTAATATCGAACACCAACCTTAAAACCAATTATAAAGTCTAGCAAACTCAGTTATTCGACTTAACTGATCAATCCATTATAGACCTTATACCCGATGTTTAGACACTACTTTTGAGAATTTTAGATTTATATCAAGTGATTAAACTGTCAAACACCAAGCGGTCACCGGTGACCGCAACCTATTGTTCTATAGTTGTGTCTACAACGACGGTACTCGACGAGTTAAAACGTCTCAAGTCACATTATTCGACAAACCTGGTCAGATACTCAAAGAGCTTTTAATATTTCACATGTAACCTCCGCAGTGGTATATAAAGTCACGCACGCACATAAACACACTAACGCCTATGTTTCCATTCACATAGGTTGTTTTCTTCCTTACACAGACTTCAGTCCGGACGACTGGGGGCCTGAGTTCCCGCTGTCCACCGCCTCGAGGTACTCCGTGCCTATGCCAACGTTGTATAGCACTGAAGGTATGGATTTTGAGGTTTTTTGGCTTTAATTTGATTAGTTACAATGATGAGTATTGTAATATACTGTTCTTACTACAAGTACTATTGTGGAGCCACAGGGGACTTAACGGGTTGCCAGGGCTCCGGCTCGAAGAGCAGGATTAGGAACGGGGTGGTTTTTAGTCAGTAAGTCTGACTCTCACTCCCGCCTCCCCCAGGCGGGAGAAGTAATTCGATGATTTTTCCTCCTTAAAAAAAGTACTACTTAATGTAAACTAAGAAACCTTTAAAGTAAAAGAGAAATCTTTTACCGAAAATCAATGGTTTTTTTTTTCAATTCCTTTTGTAATTTAGTAAGAAACATAAGGCTCTTTATTTTATTATTTACATACATTTATTTAAAATTCTCTAAAATTCCGTTTTAACACTACTTACAAAAAGTAGAAAATAATTAAAAAAAATAGAAAAATAGGAGCCGACCCGCAGCGGGAACATGGTCCAAGCTACCGGTGGGTAGGGCTCCAAAGATAGAAACCTCACGATATGTGCCGCTTTAAGGAGAACTACCTTTTATGTCGGCACAATGATAGCCGAATCCATACTTATTATATTACCAGCGACCAGCCCCGGCTTCGCACGGGTGCAATATGCATGTATTATACATATAAACCTGCCTATCTCTATGAAAGGAAACCGCATCAAAATCCGTTGAGTAGTTTTAAAGATACATGGCTTACATAGGGACAGACAAACGGTGGATAGCGACATTGTTTTATACTATATAGTGATAGTGATTATGATGAATACAGGTGTTCGATATAGGATTAGGTAGTCTAAATAGTTTGATCTTCATTGGATAGGTCTTATACCCAAATCAGTATTGTATCTTGAAGAGAATGAACTATTGTAAGGGTAATGAAATCAATAGATTCAATGGTAGGGTCTTCTGAGTTTTGTTGTTTTGTAGCTAAACTTATGGTAATGTTTGTTATTTCGACGGCACGGTTGTTGCCGTGGTTGGACAACCGGCTGCCGCGCTACGCGGGTTCGATTACCGCACCCAGCAACTCTGTGTGAGCAATCTCTATATATTGTTGTTTCGGGTCTGGGTGTCATGTGTATGTGAACTTGTACGTTTATAAACGCACCTACGACACAGAAGAAAATCCTCGTGTGGGACAACATTAAAAAATAATGTTATCTCCAATATTTTCAATTTGAAGCTTGATTGCTAAACCGACTTGTGAATATGGTGCTAGCCAGCATTAATAGAAAGGAAACTCGAACTACTAACTAACTGGGTTGAAGCTAAAGGAGTCGCAGGCTACAGGAAAGTAAATTTATATAAACTTCACAGTAAGGAATATAAATTAGTGTTTATATTCTTACAGGTTACAAATTCAAGAAGCCAAGTATAATCGAGCTGGTGCTATACAATATGGCGGCGCTGCTGGGCGGGGTGGCCGCTGGCTATGACGTCAGAGTATCCAATGTCAGCCCGCTACATCCTACGTTACAACCGCATAGGTATTTATTACTTTTTATCTTATATTTTTAGAACATTATCGCTTGACCAGCTGACTTGTTAGCAAAATTTACTGTTTTTATAAGTGACTAACCACATTGCCATTCAAAAATTTTGGAATTGTCAGTAGTAAATCATAGAAAATGCAAAAATCATATTCTATCTCGACATTAAGCTATTGTTCCCTGTTTACTTTCAGACCAGAAATAGAGCCAGATCCACTAAGCTCATCAGTGTACGAGGGGTTTGGGTATGCGCACAACACGTACCACGGACCCACCAGACATTTGCGAGCGCCGCTCAATGCCATCACCGGCTCCCCTGTAAGTATCACTAGATTTACTAGAGCACAGATCTTTCATTGGGCGGATTTGTTACCTGATTACTTTACATCTTATTTTAATTGCAGATTTCGGGCCTGCAGTCAGATGAACAGAAACCGATCAGGTTCACCGACTCCCCCACCCACTACGCGCACCCATCGTCCTCGTCCGGCTACGGACACTCCGCGCAGCCGCTGTCCGGCACGTCCGGGCTCGGCACCAACTACACCTCCACGCAGCCACCCACGCCCTCGCCGCGACGGACCTCCTCCTCCACCTCCGACCACCTCGCAGACCTCTACCACAACTACAGGGAAAATTTCCAACCCTCGCCCTCACAAGACAGGGACTACTTCTACCGGGCCGAGCCCTACGCGTACGACAGGACCGCTGACTACGTCGTCAAGCACCCGTACTACGGCTATGACGAGTGCTCATTCGAGTACAGGGAACCCACCCCGGACTACAGGCCCTCGCCACAGTACCTCACACACAGACGAACTCCGTCAAACTCCTCCGCTTCTAACTCCCACCCTGAGGAGTTCTCTCCCTCCCGACAGTATAGAAGTAAAGAGAAGAGAGACGATTACAGACCCAAGACTGAGTACCCACGTAAATCGAACGATTATTCCTTACCGAGAGACTTTTATAGACAAGACTCACAAGAGAAGAGCGAAGTGGAGCGACCCGCGAACTTGGGGCTGGAGCTGGCGCCGACCAAGCTGCGGTCGAGTCTGAAGAAGTACAACAAGAAGTCGTCAGCCTCGGGCTCCGGCTCCGGCGGCGGCACGCCCACCAACCCGACGCCGCCCGACAGCCTGACGAGTGAGACGGACAGCTCGTACGTGTCGGCGCGGGACGCGTCCAGCGGGTCCACGTCGCGCGTGCGGTTCAGTCCGGAGACCATGGAGCCCGAGCGCCGACCCTCGCGCCACACGTAGCGAAGGCTCAAGAAGTTCGACGACTACCTCGTCTGACGCGGGACTGTACATACGCTTGCGGGTAGTCCGTGGAACGCTTCGCTTCACACCTGTTTATTTACAGTGACTTTACGCACTTTGATGTTAGTGACGTAGCCAAGGCGGGCTTGTGAATGTGGACGAACTGAAAGGTTGTTTACTTGCATTTAACCAAGTGTTATTTCAGTGACTAAAATGTTAGTACTTAATATCAAGGTTGTTTAATCACTGGCTCTGTTACTATAACCATTAAATAACACATACATATCCTCACTAGGCAGTGTGACAATATTACAGAGGAATTCACTTTTATCATGTTTCCTTCAATTGACAGTACAACACAAATGTAAAGAAGAGTCTTTGGCTACGAAGTACTTGCAATAAGCTAATGTATAAACGCGATTGTGTTCATTATTTAATGTATGCGTAGTTTCCATTGTACATTTTGTATGATATGTCGTCATAATAAGATGTATTTAGCCGTCAATGTAAAGCGAATCGCTCTTTCACAGTGCCTATCGCGCGGAAATATTGATATTATTCCTTGTTGCGTGATCTAGTAGTTAGATGTGATTATTTCGAGATTTACATGGACAAGGTAGCTTCGTGAGGCAAACATACGTAACGATAAACAGATTTGTACATTATCGAGTGTGTTAACCCTTTGACCGCCAAAGACGCTTTAAAGCGTCATTCAATAACTTGATCGAGACGCCAATGACGTCTTAAAGCGTACATCGCATTTCAACTTTTAATGACGAATAAAACTTAGCTAATGTTAATTTTCTGAATCAGGAATATTTAAAACTCTTCATATTGACTTCGACTACTATAATTATGCATTAAACCATTGAGCTATAGTATAATTGGACACGTAATACTAAAAATTAACTCATCAAAAAATTTACTTATATAGTTACACTCACACCGCCAACGACGCCTTAAAGCGTCGACTAGTGTTGTGACTACCCTCGAATGAAAAAAAATAATAATAATAGGTCGGTAGTTTCAAAAATGGTGCCAGTCAAGATTTTTACGTCATATTATACACTAACTGTCGAAAGCGAGGCGTGTAAACGGCTCTGTGTATTTTTGGTTGACAAGCATATTATTATTACTGTTTCCGCATAAATTTGAAGCTGCGTTTTGAACCGTAATGGAGAAGAAGACTGGTAAGTTTACGTTATTTTTCTTTGATTTACATTTTTTTTTAATTGATAGTAAAAATATAATTAGCATACAGTATGTACCGCATTTGCTTGAAAAATTATTATTCCTCGAGTCAAAATATTTAATAATTTTGAAATAGTGGCCCACCATTCGAATGTCGATACATCAAAAGTGATAATAGGTATTGTAAATAAAATTCCTAACTCTAATAGACTACTTAAGTATAGCCAACATGTGTAACGTATTAATTAAACATAATTTTACGAAAAAATATATATTATTATTTGTATCGCTTACTGATTTTACACAGATTTGAAGCGCCCAAGAGAGCAATCGCCAAGCATCCTACCCCAAGTTGCTCAAACACAAGCCAAACATAAGCCCACATCAGCTGCAACTTCTCAACATACTAATATTGAAAAAAATATCACAAGACCATGTTTAGAATGTAACAAATATGAACGTGATGATAAAAGGAACTACTATTATTGTCAATTACTAAATGAAGAATTCATGTACATTAAACCGTGTATTCGTTCACGTTGCTACATAAAAATATTGAATTTTTTAGAGCATGCAAAGAACGCTCATTTTGACGAAATAAACATAGATTTATCAGACACAGAGAAACAGTAGGTTTCGATATGTTTGAAGATGAAAAAATAAAGAATATTCTTAATAGTTTTTTTCTCAATATAATATAATATTTATTATTTAACATAGTGCCTAGTTTCTAACTAATATGTATTAAGTAGGTATATTTGTTTGCAGTACCGACATACATTGATCTATAAATATAATTTATTTACCTAGGTACTTAGTTTCCTTGTAACATTATAGTTTTCCCTTTACTTAAATAAACATCGACAACTTATTCGAACATTACTAATAATCACACATTTTTCTATGTCGTGAACGCCGTTGACGACTTAAAGCGTCCGCCTATGACGTCACAAGCGAGAACGTTGGTTGTTATAGTGTTGGGATTTGACGGTAGGAAAAAATAACATTTTATCGATGTACCCTCAAGACAAATTATTATTATAACTGCAATAAGTATTTCACTAGCAGATCGTTTTGTGTTACGCGTTTTTATTAAAGATAAATATGGATCACGAGGAGCTCCTTCGTATTTTAGAAGGTGTCGATGATGGAATCGAAATTGAATCTGCATCTGACAGTGAAATTGAAGATGAATTTGAGGTGAGTCATTTCTAAGTTCACAAACCTACTTCTAACATTACAAGTTATACTCCGCTGAGATTGGACGGCATGCCCGAAATTTAGTTTAGCGTTTTTTAGCTCCCTTACGCCCTGTGTCACGGAGTACTCTAAGAATTACGGGTACAAATTACACTCGGACAGAAACACAAATGTGTGTGTTATGTGGGAATAACGACCTAAACTATTCGACTACCGAGGCTGTCCATAATAAATCATAATAAAATCGTTTATTAACTTTAAAGTTTACTGTCTAAGGACTACTGTCCTTAATAATTAATTTTAATTGATATTCATTTATCTTTTTTAGGCTGTACTAACTGAGAACCTCCCAGCATCAAATCCTCCAAATGTTCAGGATGAAAGTGATATAGTTGAGAACATACCAGGACCACCTCCTATTCAATGGACAAGACAACCATTTGGAATAGAAACTCCTTTTTTTGATGACTTTGGTAGTGGTATTTCACCTTCATTAAACTTAACATCATCTTCAAACGAATTAGCAGTTTTTGAGAAGTTCGTGGACGAAGAGTTAATAAAAACAATAATACGCTACACTAATCGGTATCATTGCTACTTCATACTAAACACGGATTTGAGGAACCACTCGAGGCTGCAGACTTGGAAAGATGTAACCGTTCCAGAAATGTATATATTTTTGGCTATTACTATGTTAATGACTAGAAACAGTCGCTTAACGATTGAAGAGCATTGGTCAACAAATCCGCTATTGAATTCTCCAATTTACACAACTCTAATGAGTAGAAATCGTTATACGACAATATTAGGAATGTTGCATTTTTCTGAACCGAGACCAAGGCATGCCAATGACCTAATATTGTCAAAGATAATAACGGTGGTAGATGACGCAAGACAAAAATTTCAATCTAATTTTATTCCGTACAAGAAGCTATGTATTGATGAAAGTATTGTTCCATTTAAAGGAAGGTTAATTATCAAACAATATATACCTAATAAGCGTAATCGATTCGGCATTAAACTGTTTGTCTTATGTGATGTAGAAACGAGAATTATATTGGATTTTATCATATATACTGGTTTAGAAACTGAAATAATACGCGATGCAGACCTAGGTGTAAGTGGATCAATAGTTATTACCTTTTTACAAAAATATTACTTTTCGAATAGACAAATTTATATGGACAACTGGTACAGCAGCCCCAAATTATTTATTTCTTTATTAAATCGAAATATAGGTGCTTGTGGAACTGTAAAACGTAATCGCAAAGAAATGCCTGAATTCAAGAAACTGAAAAAAGGCGAGAGGGATGTGAAATATGCTCCCAATATAATGGCTCTAAAATGGCACGACAAAAAAGATGTGTACATGATCACTACTATGCATAAAGATCAAATGGGACCTACTGAAAAAATTGATCGGTCCACAGGTTTACCAAAAATGAAACCCGAATGTGTTATAGATTACAACGAACACATGGGAATCATTGACTTGAATGACATGATGTTAAGTTCTTTACACAGTATTCGAAAAGTGACGAAATGGTACAAAAAGTTATTTTTTCATATAATTGACCTCTATTTGCTAAACGGTTACAACTACTACAAAGTTTTGCAAGACAACAAAACACTACGTTTTGCCAAGTACCAACTGGCAGTCGTAACACAAATTATCCAAAAGTACGCAGGAGACAAGACCTTACCGATGACTTCACGAAATGTAGACCAACCATTACGATTAATAGGAAATGCGGCACGCCACATGCCAGCATATTTACCGGATTCGAAAAAATTACGTTGTAAATTATGTAGTAATTTGAAACGCAAAAGGCGAGATACAAGATTTTGGTGTGAAATTTGTAAAGTGCCTCTTTGTGTTACATGTTTTCGTGAGTATCATGAAATAGAAATATTGCACTAACGCAGAACTTATTGTCATACTTTGATTATAATAAATATCGACAACTATTAATAAATCTATCATCACATCACTGTCTATGTTACGTTTTTATGACAAAATTACCCCTCTCCTACGCCATTGACGCTTTAAAGCGTCGACTAGTTACGGGAAAATAGGGTAATATGTTATTTTTATATGCAAAATCAATATTTACAGAGGCATATACATATACACTAATGTAAGGTATTTGATCATAAACTAAATCTTCAATGGTAAAAGTATTATTTTATTTGTAAACCGTGTACACAAGCACAATGTATCGATGTTTTATTGATTCAAAGGTTTTTTTTATCGGTCTAAGGGTTAATAATGATAAACTAAATATTTTTTTATTTCATTATTAGTAAAACTTCAGTTGTATAAGCATTATTTTATTTGTAAACTATGCACAAACAAAATGTATCGATGTTTTATCGGATTGCGTTTCCCATCACTATTTTTTTATAGGTATAATACAACGAATTTATTGCTTGGCGTCGGGAGCACGGTTTTTCGTTATTAGCGTGGCGGTCAAAGGGTTAATGAGTTCAAAGTATTTTATTGCCTCGTGACACCATTTCTACACCGAGGCTTCCTTGCACCATGATAGATTCTGATTATTTTACATTAATTCTGGTTTGATGTTAGTTAGGAGGAATCCATGAAGGCACAAACAGCGTTGTACAAATACAAATTGTAAATATCTGGCGTTTGAGCTGAAGTACACAGCCGACAAGTAAATTTCGTTAAAATGCGAGTTTCCTTTAATTTCGTTAAATTTATAAATAGTACAAATGTATTTGTAAGTGTCATCGTGTTCGAACGCGAGGCGAAGAAAAAAAACATATTTTTAATTCAACGTAATCAGTGTATATTTTGAAACTAACAATTAATATATTATGTAACTTATATCACTAAGTTGTATGCATTTTGTACAAAACATTAGATATTTTTTACTGAAGAGTGTCAGTAACATTAGTACTTAGTATTGTGAGCAGCTTTTATATCCCACATAAATAATGTAAATTAGGTAAAAATACTAGTCGGAAGTTTGCGGAAATCCTAAATATTGCATATCCAGCTAAACATTGATATTATATTCGATATTACGCTTACCCGAGGTGCACTGGATTGCTGTACCATCGAGCTGGTGACACATGGTTCCGTTCACATGAAGGCCTATGTCGGGAAGCTTGAAATTATCACTTAAATTAGCGAGTAAATTATAATTAAGGTGTATATCGGAACATTCGAATAATATTAGCTTTGGTAATTATTGTTAGCCCGAATCAGTGCCTAAAGTCTGCTGGAACGGTACATAGAGATTATGCCATCGAGAGGAACGATTTTATCAAAATGAATTACTTTCTATTATTTATTATGGCCAGTAAAATCATTATTGACAACTGAAGAGATGTATTTATTCTTTCAATTTTTATTATTTTCTTGTGCAATATGTGAAATTATTTTGCGTCCATATTTAATTTAATTATATTTTTATTATTTATAAACAAACGTCGTGAATGTAACAGTATTTTATACAGTATTCGAAGTATTGTATATTCGGAAATTATATGTATGGTTGTATGTAGTATAATTTATTAAGTTAGCTTGACCAGTGCCAATGTCGTCCAGTGTTTTGTTTACATTATCTTTTATTTCCATGTTTAGTACAAACCAAAACGTAACCAAATTATCGTAAGAATCTCTTGTAAAATTAAGTTTCAGTTTAACAAGTCACAAATTCTGAGTCAACGATTAAAACGATATTATGTAAATATTTATCTGAGATTCACGGCGCGTTTACTTAAAAAAAACTCTAGTCCTGAATTTTTATTTTATTTTAATATCTGGCTGGTAATCGATGTGGTTACGAACGACTGGCGAACGTACTTCGAAGGAAAACGTAGTTTACGGGGCATTCCTGTGTTTTATATACATTCCATATGTTTTGAAGTGATATTATTGTAATCAGAGATGCGTTTAAGACGAGTGTAAAGGTTTTGTGTGCCAATAACATGAGGTGGGAGGATGCCTTACGTCTGTACGTTGAATCGACAAATAAAAACCTAGATTAAGCTTTTTATGAAGTCTTATTATTCCTATTCCTCGACCAACTATTCTCTTTCCTGACCTTTAACCAAGGAAGTCTGTCTCGTACACGTGCTAGAAAAGAATATAAATTATTAATTCATATAAGAAACTACCATTTAGATGCAAATCTTGTAACGAAATACGCGAGGCATCGACTGGGACTCTTGCCTGTCTAGAAATTCTTTGTTACGTGTCATGGAGTCGGTTAAAATAACACGTTCCTAACGGTTCACATGCTGGGGTCGATTGGAAAGCATATTAAAGATTGTCATTATGTAGACCTAGTTGTTCCTTGGGCTGGTTTTAGTTTTTAATTAATGCGGACATTCCAGTTACTTTTTGATCCGAGTTCTAGTGACGAACAGCCACTTTCAATGAATAATTCAAGTCAAAAGTCGTAACAGTTTTACTTACAAACACGCTACCGACTCATTCCGTGACTAACGTATAAAGGCTATATTTTTTATTTAGATTAAGAAAACATGCGTCGCATTTTATAACAGTAACTTGTGTAGCCATGACAGATGTTCGTGGTGTTGAATTGTGAAAAACCTTTCTTTTCATGAGTTATTGCTTGGGTATTTAAATGAATGAGCTGAAAATCAGTATGAAACTTCAATCAGGCTTCAGTCATGGCCCGCGATTGACGGTTCGGGTGCAGGGCCTTGCAGTTGTCCAATCTGCAAAATTGGACAACCGCATGGTGTATTTCATTTTTGCATTGATGACCCTGACTTTTAATCGTGTATAATACATTTGCTAGGTTTTCCTTGATATCCTTATTTGAAGCACCGGTGTACTTTATCGTGAACATTCTGTATTTCAGTGGTTCGTATTATGACTTAGTTGTACATACATAGACTAGATTTAAATTCGACATAGGTACTGCTGAGGAGTAGATTCTATGGATGTGTGATGAATGGAAAGCTTGTCCAATTGGGGGTCTAACTTACATTTTAATTAGTTGTAGGCGCTACCTAACTACTAATAATAAGTAGGTAGGTACTTCCACTGATTCAACGGTACTTTTCTATAATGAATCATAGGTACATTATAGGTTTGTGCTCGAGACTATCGCGAGATTCATTACAATAAGTAGGCACCTACCGATGTTTAATTTTATCTTTAGGTTACTTAGTATTACATAAAAGTTATATGTTAGGTGCATAATTAATTTAGATTACTGCCATATTTGTTGCAATGTGACAGCTTATGTAATCATTCGGTGGTGATGGTATTAATTGTAATTTTAACTTTATGGGATTATTTTAGGTACCAGTCGCCTACCTACATATTATATTTTAAAACCCAAACACTCAACTTGTCGCGTTAAAGTATGGTTCTGTCGCTACAATTTATTTGTAAAATGACAGAGATGGTATGTACCTACGATATTTAAGTACAACTAAAAATTGAGTACCTAGCCTTTCAGTATTCGAGCGTAAGTCATAAGCCTTCGGGGATAAACGGCGTGATGTTGTTATGCGTCATGTTAAAATAACAATCGGGGTATATTTTTATTGCAAAAACGCTTAGAAGTGGGTTGGTACCTCCTTCGCTAAGAACTCGCTCCATTCAATAGCAGGTCGGGTTCTTGAACTCCATCAAGCCGATTGTAACCAATTAAATGTTCATTACACTCGAGTTATCACTTTCTCTTATCTACTGTACAAGGGTAACAAATGAAACGTGGCCTTTATGTAAAAACAATTTATTAAATACTGCATAACTAAAATACTATGTCAGTGCGATGTAAAAATATACTTAACTAAACCAGTAAAAGTGCTCTTAGAGGCTAAAATATTTACAGAACAAACACTTCTGTCCACCGAGGTGTATCTCGTACAAACATCGAAAATATACTGTTCTATGGAGAGTGTTAAAATGACCCATTTTATAAATAGTTTTATTGTTCTCTTTCCAGCAGCCTACGGCCACCTAGCGATACGTCTAAGTAGACAGAATAAAATTTTATACAATACATAAAACATCTTTCTGGTAAAACAGGAGTGGTACTGGGTACTGCAAATTAGCCAAGAGCACATTTGACAAATCGATCGCACACTTATACAATAGACAGGAAATTTCTCGGTGGTTCATTTCTCACGGCACTTGCGTAATTTTCTCCACCCGTTACAGTTTATCTTTAAGAGTAACTTTCGTGAAGTGTATCACACAGTAACAGGTAATAGGCGAGTTACGTGTACAATTATTATTTATTAAAAAGAATCGATTAATTAAAAAGAATATCAATTTGCCAAAGTGCCATTACTAACTGCTGATTAAACTTTACATTTATTATGCCTTCACAAGAACTATGTTCCATAATACACAGGGTAAATAATTTCCAATGAAACAGATACACGTTAAAAATATATATCAAAAACACCCTGTGACAATAATCCAATAAGCATTAATTTAGGTTTAGAACCAAAGTTCTTATACTAAGTACTGGAAGTTACCAGAAATATCACAATCAAGTGGCCTTACATCCTTCTAATCTCTTTTTTCGTCTTATGTCTATAGAAAAATTGTGTCCATTTGACTAGTAGAAACACTCTGTGGTTTATACTCTGGGAACATTCGTGACACTGGACATTACACATTCTATATAGGTAAACTTTAACATACATTATCTTAACTTTTTATTTCCAAGAATCTCTTATACTTTGCATACTATTAAACTTCACTGTCAAACACCAAGCGGTCACCGGGACCGCTTGGTGTTTGACAGTTTAATACTTAATGTTCTATAATTGTGTCTACAAAACCGGTACTCGACGAGTTAAATTAGCAAATTTGCATTCCATAATTTTACTATTCCCCAAATAATTTTACAATCAGTCGATTGGACGTTGACATCCAACATAGCCAGATACAACGGTTATTCAGATCTGCATATCAGTACGCCACAGACTTCCGTGGGATGATTTATTTTACAAACACAATGTTAGCATAAACTCAAACTATAAAGTCGTGTTTTAAACATTTTTCGTACACGCGAATACATAACGGCCTCGAATTATGACATTCGAAGCGCGATTCATGTTTATCTTAAACATTAGGAAGCAATAATCTTTAATAATAACGTTCCAACGGATCGACAAGAATTTTCACATTCTCGATAAAAAAATATAGCACCTTCCAAATAAATGCTGTGCTCTATTTATTCACCACTATCCATACGTTTAACAGATAACTAAACATAAAATAACGAATAAAAGTACCTACAAGACATCATATTAGAATAATTATTGGACGATTTTTAATTTGCCCAAGGGATCTCATTACACCTTTCAACCTGTTCACGTATCACGCAGCGTACCTATCTCGTATACGGAAAGAGGCTCATTATACTCTTATTAATCCAGCTGGCGTGTTGCAGAGAGATAAAATAACCATAAAAGCAACATTTGCAATACTCTTTGAAGTATTTTACTGTCGCGTCCGTCATTTCCGGGAAGTTAACCACACCAATTTTAATAACTTTTAGCTTTGCACGTTGACTGTCCATCATGCGACGTTTTAAACATGTAACATGTTAAAAAACATAATAAAAGTAGTTCTTTACATAAAAAACATAATAAAAGTAGTTCTTTACTTCAAATTATATTCTTTGTTTTACAAAACTAGGAATGAGGCGTCGCGTCCCCAAGCCAACTAATCAATTATGAACGAACACATTTTGGCTTGTATTATTTGCCCCAACAGTTGCTTACATTTTCAGTTTCAGAATATCAATGAGTGATATTTTATTTTTATCGCCAGTATTGTAGTTTCAACACGTTCTAAAACCGGTCTCTTACACTCGCTGTATTTTACAATTAAAATCTTGTTTGTGGGATATCTACCTACAAATCCAAAATTTAGACATTTACTGTGCATAGGTACCTACTTTCAAGAAACGCGACAGTATTTCAGCCTTGACCTTTTGCGGTTTATTTATTTCTCCTAGCTCTGTATATTGTTTTATGAACATATAAGCTACTTATCGCTAATTAAATAATATGAAATGTGGTTATAGATCTAAAGTTTGTTGAAACCAATGTGAGAACCGTGGATGGGAAAACAATTTCACTTGTCGTTCATTGTTTAGGTCCTGTACGTAGTCTATTTCGGTATAGTCGTTGCTTGCCCACAACAGCTTCCGCCGCCATAAATCTGGGATAACGGGAACAGGGAGCACGTCATAACATGTTAATATCCCAAGAATGATAGATAAATATCGCAGGAATTTATGAGTTTCTGTTGCCTATGCGTCTCCGTTAGATACAGCAAATTCCGTGGTCAAACGAGACACTTTTTATCCACCACATTTTTTGCATTCAATCGAATATTGGACTCTGAGACGTACCAAAGGAGCTGAAGTAATCAATGGGATTAACTAGACAAGTGTCGACGTGTATTGAGATTAATTATTGTAACAACGAGCAGACTTTTATACAAAACAAACTAAATCTATTTCGTAACGTGATTTGCTTACCAGAATAATAAAGCCCTAACTTTCGAGAGGTCGTGGCGATAGACCTTTTAAATGTTCGGCTTATTAAACTGTCAAAGACCAAGCGGTCACCGGTGACCGCAACCTATTGTTCTATAATTGTGTCTGCAAAACCGGTACTCGACGAGTTAAAGTTGTATATACGGATTCTAACCGGTGAAAAATAAAAAAACTTGCTCGACTGTTTTAGTAGACGTCTCATTACCATAGCACCTGTACGATAAACTTGATGAAAAAAATGCGATAAAAAAACTGACATCGTCCTTGGATTCTGCGTTAATGCATGACCGCGTGAAGCCTAATGTTAAAAATACTTCAAAACACCAATTGTTTTAAAGTGTACTAAACTCTACATCGATCTTGTTCTACCTAGTAACAGCATTCAATGGGTATTTACGACGAGTGAGACTGAGAATCAGCCACAAAATATGCGATTACTACATTTTTACGAGCTGCTATTATTCTCTAACAATATTTAAGTTTTTCTTATAAGTCTTCATGGTTTAAAACCAGAATGTGAGGGCAAATACGAAAAAAAACGTTCCTAAATCTAAAGCACACTCAGACTCAGACTTGTGATTTACGATACATGCGTATCGAATTCGGGTACGAGTGTACATTTTATAAATGCATGCTCGTTTATGTTTTAACAAATGATATAACTAACTTAAGTGTACCGTACGGTCCGTACGGGGCGGTCTGCACGTGATCATAAAAGCGAAAATGAATAATATTGATCGGAATCTGAGCGGTGTATCAAGAAACATTCTATAGTTTCTTCGTACAGTCGCAGACTACTAATGAACTTATAGCAAAAATAATTACCGTACTCTTGGAAAAAATGTGAGACTTTGAGGTGGGTCTTAACGCTACGTACGGTTATTCTTATGCTAATCATCACGCGTAACTGCCATAACTCAGATGTTGCAACTAAAATACAAATTACTTGATTACAGGCATCTATCTTGCTTGTTGATAACGGTGGTTGAGGCCAAGCACTAAAAGCAATAATATGTTAAATTGCTGTGAACAACTGATTCGCATAAATACAAGGTGTTCAAACAGAGAGTTCATTTATGTATTTTTATTTTGTATTCATACATTTTCCAAGTTCCTCTCATATTTTTGCAACAGAACGGTCGAATGTAAATTCTACTATGTATATTAGCTATAGACCGACTTCGTAATTAATTGGACGCCCAGTTGCGTCGTCAACTCGCCAATCAAATCCCTATGAAAAATCGATACTTACATAGCCAACATAAAATGTGAAACGAATTTTACAATTTTAAAGTGAATTTTGGCATTCATTATCAATTAACATAATTAAGAAATATCACTGAATAAGATTTATTTGACATTGAAACGTAGAATATCAAGTAATTCAGATTTTTCTAGATTTACATAAAACTCCGCTAGTTCTCAGACTGGTCTGGCGTCAGACAAGTGTTAGCTTTATAATATTAAGTTGAATGCTGGTAACATTATTTGTGATAATTACATTATTGCTTTTTGACTTTTGCTGTCTACCGACATCAAAAGTAATATTATAATGTACTTCGAATGGAGGGACACACTTTGTATTCAGCGATCGAACTGTACGGATTAAAACCAATTATTACCTAACTTGTATTTTACTCAAGTGAAACTGAATTGATCCTTCACAAGGGAAAGAGGTCGTCGAATCTTAGAAATATTTATATGTATTTTGCCCTTGAAAGGACGGCGAGTCCTAAACTCATTGACCGAGAGTTTGCACACATGCGTCCCGAAATACATACACATGAAGACTGCTTGTTATTATACTAAAATACAAAAACAAACCCTTTAAGTAGCTAGGCAAAGTATCGATTTGGTATATTCGTTGATGACGCAGCCGTATTCATTCTACGTATTTTTATCCTCCTGGGTTTATTATGATTCAACGCAGGATCCGCCTAGGCAGGACTTTTAGGTCCATCTATTTTGGGCAAGGCCAACAGTCGAGACGTCTACATATAAATACAACAGGATTCTCACTAGACTCAATTAATCGAGTTTGTAATTTATTTGAAGACGAATCTATTAAATTATTAGCATTTAAGGAAATGTACACAATTTTGTGGGTATCAAATTTTTGAAACAATTTTTGACTCAAACAAAATAAAAGAAAGCCTAAGTAAATTTTCGCATTTTCATCTCGTGCGTGACGTCAATGAACATAGCGGGAAAGGCGGTGTGTGGCGAGAATTTATTAATACGTACGTACACAGTCAGGGGCGATATATCAATAGACCACTTAGCTGTCGAGTTTAGTAAGCTTTAATTATCAGTGCATTGGACCGAGTTATCTCTACAAACTACAGTTACGTCATGTGGAAAACAATATGAGTATTACAGCGTCGACCAAAAGATTGTTATCAGACATTCAGGCCTTTGAAGCTCCAATTACTTTACTTCTTATATAAAGTATTGCGGTGGAGACTGCAATATTTAATGTTTATAATAATGCTTGGCTTGTTTGTTACAAAAGGAGTGTTTTCTTTTGCAACTCAAAAGACAGGTGAATGGCGAAATGCTTAAAGTACACGGACATCCGCGCATAAGAGAGCCTATTATAATAAGTGGTTTAAATCTTTGAGCTGTTCTGTTGTTGGTCAAGAAAATAAAATTTAGAAGCAATATTATAGTCATAAAAGAATACTGTTTACTTCGTTCGAAGTAGGGAATGAGTCATAGTTACATATTGATACTGACTGTTGCTGATATGGACGTCGAAATATTGATTGCAACTTTGCAATTACTGGAAGATTAACCGAGTCAGAGACCGCCCGCTCCTTAATTTCAAGGTAGCGAACACGTGTCATAGTTAATAGTATTTCGTTTACAACTTAGGATTTATCGCAAGAAAAGGCATAAAACTTAACACTTTATAGCTGATGGATATTGTACCTACCTAGATCTGATAACAGAACACAATCAATATGTAACTGCAGTATCGGCGTTACTGAGTTGCAACCATAGCTAACTATCCCTAGCAGACTAGAATTACTTAACGACTGACGAATACGTTACGTTTTAAAAATAATACATCGTTACTCACCATCTAGATGTCACGGCACAATACTTACTTTCTACTTTCTCTCCTAAAACTGTTGTTTGGTACATAATTATCCCGAGTAAGAGGCACGTAGGGAGGCACCTAGAGCTTTTACTCTAATTTGTGGCAGTCTATTTAGGAAAATTAGTTAGGAGCACATTAATGTATTTCAGTATTATCTTATCGGCTTCCTATGCTCCAGCGCGTCCCCCAAGATAACACGCATCCTTGTCGGCGTACGAGCCGCGCTCCCGCGCGCTCTACGCCTACCCGCACTACCCTAATGGACTGGCTCGAAGCCTTAAAAATGTATAAGAGATTAAAGCTCACTTTTCATTCGTACACGACGGCATTAAATAATAAATACATTCACACGGCTTGATACGCTACATTTTAGAAATTAGAAGGCCTGACTTGCTACTGCGCCAAAAATAATATTGAATAAGTAACTAATGACGGGATAAAACAATAACGGGAACCATAAACCCTGAGGTAACATAAACAAATAAAAACTTATTTCTGATCTCTCACTACATACACAACATGCAATATTTAAGCGGTATTACACAGCGACCTGCCGCCGACAGACAATACACACAACTATATATTATGTACATGTTAACTACTGCCACAAATAAGTATATTATGTATTATTACGTATAATAAGTAAATAAAGGACACGACAGGGCGGGGGATATGTATATAGAAAATAAAAAATAGAGAAATATACAATAAACTCTATTTAAACATGAAATTTATTAAAGATAAAAACATACAATGTTTTGTTTTACACAAAATAAAATACCTGGAGGGTTATTGTCGAGCGCCAGGGCGGCATTAGCGGAGGCGGGGCGCGCCCTGGCGCCCGCGGCAGATATACATAGTGCGACAGGTCCATATATAGTCCAATAATATAATACATTAGCATATGATAAAAGTGTACACATATATGATACTGTCAAGCCAACTAAAACTCACAAAAAAGTCATGTCGCGCTCTCGCGAATATAAAACTATGTTAAATCTTACAAAAATACTTATGTGACTAATTTGAAATGCACATATAGGATCTCGCTTTCCGTCTACAAAAATAATCTGAAATTGGAATGAAAATCTTTCTTAAGCATTCGGCCTGGGAACGATCACAAAAGTTACGGCGTTCACAACGTCCGCACACAATTTAATTATTTCTCTTCTGAGTCTTAAAGCTAACCGATAGAACCTGTCCGTTGAGCGTATATCCATTGAGCGCTTGTATGGCCATAGCGGCCTCGTCATACTCACGCATATTCACAAATGCAAAACCTTTGTTTTTCTTTGTTTCAGGATCTTTGATCACTTTTATGGAATCAATTGCACCATAAGGACCAAAGAGTTGCCATAGAGCCAGCTCCTCAGTGTCCTCACCAATGTTGTATACATACACTGTGGTCTGATGCGGAGTGGGCGCCGCGCCCAGCAGCGGCACGGGGCTGGCCGGCGCCCCCAGTAGCGGCAACGGCGTGTGGTTGGTGGCTGCCATCGGGTTAAAGCGTTGCTGCCCCTTGTTGATGAACGGTAACGCCTTACCAGGCGAAGGCAGCAGTGGCGGAGGCGAGGCTTGCGGGAACCCGGGGGCGAAGGCAGCCGGCCGCGCTCCGAATGCTGCGCTCAAGTTGGTGCCGTTAAAGGCGGCGGGCGCAGTGCCGTTGAAAACTGCTGTGGCGCCGTTGTAGGCAAGCGGCGCAGCGCCCACTGCGACACGGGGCGTCGGCCGCGGCGCGTTCTTGTTAGCATTTGGTTTGTTCGCGAATTTGACCACTATGGCGCCTGCGGCCGGGATCGGCGACTGTCCGTTCATATGTTTGATTGCCTCCTCAGCCTGCGGCCTCGTCTCGTAACACACGAACCCGATGCCTTGCGAGACCCGACTGTTCGTTATTACACCGAACTGACTGAATAAACTATTAAGACGCTCTAACGTCATGTCTGGAGGTAGATTGCTAATGTAAAGGTTAGATTCCGTGTCAGGTTTGTGGCTGACCTTATTTTCGGGGTTCAGTAATGCGAATGACACTTTCAGGGTTTTTCCTTGCATGAGGAGGCCGTTGAATGCCGCCCGCGCCTTTTCAGCATCCTCATGTTTCTCGTACTCGACGAAGCCGTAACCTCGGTTGGCTATTAATTTACAGCTCTCTATCTTGCCCATGGCGGAGAAGAGTGCGTACATCATATCACGCGTCATCAGCTCGGGTATGTAATTGACCATGAGTTTGGTCGGTGACACATTGTTGGCGTCGCCGCCGCCATTCTCCATCTCGTTTTTAATCATTGTTCTTTTACAATAAAACTACACTACAGAAAACAAAATACTAATAAAAATCACACTATGAACAGTTGTTTACTTCATTTGCGACATGTATAACGAACAAAGAACGAACACAAAAAGTCCCAGTCACACTAAAATGCCACAGCGACGCCGGTTCACAAGTTCATCATCACACGAACGAGTTTGTTTTTGGAATGTTACCAGGTTTCGTCCTTTTTGTTTGGCAAGTACGAAATGCAACTAGTTGTTGAATTATTACATTTCACTTCAATTATTTCAGTTATTTGTTCGACTTTATTAAAATGAATTATTTAATTGGCACGTGTTTGGATATTTGGTTACTGTCAAAATAATTATTTTATAATTTTTTGATCGCGTGGCACATTTTTATTACGTTGTCTATGATATAAATTAAAACCGTTATAACCTCTGCACACATAGCTAACATCCAAAAATATCGCCTAATAGCCTAAATATTAATTTTAATAGCTTTTTACCTATTAACGCGACAACCTAAGGGGATATAATAGACATATTATCTTTTGGAGAATATCATAAAATATTTTATAACATGACCATACGATGTACTTCAATGAGTTTTTTTATGATAAAATAGTATATCCTGGACCTTGATTTTTCACGAACAATAGAATCATAATAGAAACTACAATACCTAAACAAAACTTTTCAAAATGATAAATAGGCAGAACAGGTAAAGTTCTGATTAGTCTATGGTACCACAAATATATTTCTAGAAATATATTTTAAATTATAAAACCTTTGAAAGTAAACGCAAAATAGGTATACATATTAAATTCGTTAATTGCTTCAAAGGAATTATATCATTTGTTGTTATCTTACAATAATGGATTTTAGAATTGGTAAATTTTAACTTGCCACACCAATCAGCTGGTTGACAGTTGCAGGTTTTTTTTTTTTTTTTTTTTTCTATGGCAATTGAGTCTCCACTATTTAGTAGTTGACTATTCTGCCAGCGTCATGTGTTACGGCAGGTGTGGGCATTACAGATTATATATTTAAATAGAAAAGGGACAAAAAAATGGCATTGACATTTAAATTTAAAGCACATTCACTATATTATATTAGGTACTCTCATTATATATTAGATTTTAATGTTATTTTTAATAATGAATTTTGCCAAAAGGTTAATGAGTTTAGGAAAAAAATTGGTTAATAGTGAGCGAAAATTAATTGGGAGGGGAATTTTAATATTAGGGAGTTCTCTATAGAGGTCTAGATATTGGGAGTTTATGGAGCAAGAAAAAAATATATGTTCGAGGGTACCCTCATCAAGACCACATTCGCATACAGAGTTGTCACGAATGTGAATCTTGTACAAAAAAACTGGACTACTGCAGTGGCCGAGTCTAAGTCTACACAAGGACGTGACTGCTTGTTTTGGGATTTTACGAAATTTAAAAAACCAAGGTTTCCTCTGGATGCTAGGTTGGACGGAAGCGTAGTAAGCTCCTTTACGCTGTGAGGTACTTTTCCATATGACCACGTGTCATAGAGCTTTCGCTTTGTGTCGGCTCGGATATCATAGCCGGGTATAACAAAATGATGGCGTTCCACATCACCTGACGTAGCAAACTTAGCCAACGCATCAGCACATTCATTTCCGCGTATGCCAGAGTTGCAGGTTGTTGTGTCAAGTAAAATGTCAACATGAAAGAAACAGCTGCGTGTGACAGAAATTGTCAAAATTAACAATTTCGTTTCTGTCAATAACTCGAATGATAAACTAGATTTTAATTAAAAATAATTCAATTTTCTGAGTATATCAACATGTTCCTAACAAACATTCTGTGCAAGAAGGCGAAGAGCAAGTCTGTTTTCGTAAATATGTCTAGTTTTAACTTATAAATTTAATAAATTTAGACGATAAATCCTATTTGAATTTTCAGGCTGATTATGGTTCTGATGGAGAGTGTAGTATCTGGTCACCAAACTACGATGATAAGGGAGCGTTTAGCCGATAAATTGGAGTTTATACGCTTCGACCCTTACAGTGAGTAACACTAGACATTTATAACCTCAAATCAAATACTTACAGAATGATTTTGAAGAAATGTCAATGAAGGTCGCTTAATATCCACCCATAAAAAGGACAAACGATTTTATAAAAGTATGTACTGTAGCAAGGAGATGCTGAAAGTAGGTAGCGTCTTATTAACAAATGGCTTTACAGTTATTGTATAAACCTATAATTAAGCATAGTACATCGTGTACACACGGCCACACATCAACCTATACAAAACCAGTTTATCCTGGTATCGCGTCGCATCATCTTTCTGCGCATTTAACGTTCAGTTTATACTGGTTATGTAAAGCTCGATGTGTAGCCGTGTGTACCTATTCTAGATATAGATTTTTAAATTGTCTACCTAACTCTATCATTCAAAAATGTAAGATTTAATTTGTGTTGTTAATCTTATAGGTTCTGAGAATGTAGGATTCTTTCCTCGGTTTTAATTACTAATTATTTAGTGAATTCCTAATTAATTGTCTAACATCTATGATACTGAAATAGTTTTTCAGTATGTGGCACAAACAACAACCTATACTTATACCTTTTACATGGATCTCCTAACATCATTCTCTGTACTATACTAATAACTATCCAATAAGTATGATATACTTTCGAAAAAGTCCAGTAACCAAAAAATGTTTGGTGTGTGATACTTTGTCTGCCTCGGGAATCGGACCCAAGACATTTTATTCGAGACAACAGGCTAGAGTAGACGAGGCAGTCTACTCTAGCCTGTTGAAAATCATCCCCTAAATTAGTTCATACAAAAATAATCTGTAAATATTGGAAATAAAGTCTATAATGTAGTTAGTGGAGAGCGGGCACTGGTGACCGCTTGGGGATATGGGCTAGATACTTATACTGTATGTTACATATGCATGTTTGTTTGTTTGTGCCATATTTTCTCGCGATTGCTTGAACCGATTTTGATATGATTTTCAGAAAAGTGTTTGTTACACTTAGAAGCTTTTAGAATATTACTTAACCGACTTCAAAAAAGAGAAGGCTAAATTCGGTTTCTTTAACATACTTATTTAAAGAATTATTTCTGTTTCAGTTCAACAAGAAAGTTTATACAAGGAAAGGAAGAAGATCAGGAGCATAAAGTCATCATAAGATAGGCAGAAATATGTATAGGTATGTAGGAATAGGATATAAATAATATACAACATGTTTTAAATGTTATAATTTAGTTATTGTACTTTAAACAATAAATAAATCTTTGGATACAATGTGTTTCACTATACTAGAAAATTATGAAACTTCTCTGTCATTAAGTACTGCATGTTACAATTTGCTACCAATTTTAATTGTACAGAGCAGAGTCTAATATATGTTCAATATAATGAGTTTAGAATATATGCTTTACTTTCCAAGTTCTTACGGCTAAGTCCGATACTGCATGCAATTGAATAAATTTCAAAATTACATGTAGTGCTTCTTCGTCCAATGTGCCTTATTCAGACAAAAAGTGCTAATAGTGCTAATTAAAATGAATTTACAACATAAAACACCTTCAATTTATAATTAATAAACTTCCGTCGCTACTACGTACGACCAGACAAACATTCTAACTCTAATAAAATTTTCAAAAGAGAAATTTCAATTTATATAATAATAATATAGGCCAAATATTGATTAATACATATATTTTCATATCACAATACAAGAACTTAATTAAATTTAAATTTTCGTTTATGATATAATTTAATTTAATAATAATAATAATTAAAATGTTTTTACTACGTTCTCATATTCGAATAATTTATGAATAATTTAATTATTCTGAATTTTTAATAAAATGCAATTCCGATATTTACCAATACATATTCCATTTTCGATAAATGTAAATATTAACTTTCCATTCAATAAATGTTTCAAACACTTAATATTTACTCTCACTGTATTCTTTATATCTATCTCAAATCTTACTAGAAGATTAAATATGACTTACACAAGTCCTCAAAGTACCTTTTAAGGCTTTCTAAGGTCGCCGAGTTACAGCAACAATGATATTATTGAAATTAACATAATTTGAATGAAATTGACTAGAATATAACTTTTATAAATTTTAATGTACTTAGGCACCTAAAAGAATCTATTATTAAATATTCCAATAATTGAATAAATACAGCATTTATAAATATTTACACACAGGTGCAGATGAAATAATTTTGAAATTTAATATTGACATAAAGAGTCCTTAATTGATTTATAATCAAATATTACAATATGTACTTATATGCTACTTATAATATATAGTATGAGGAAATTCTTTGGCTTATGATAGTTTATATGTATAATTAAGATTTAAAAAATGTGAAATTATTGGAAGTTGGTCCTCTAACGACACTGTATTGATAGTAAATATATTTTTAATGGAATGATATTTTAGTAAGTAAGAGATGAATTTTATATATTAACCTTTATTTGAAGTCTGCTTGAAAGTCGATGAACTATTTTATATAATAAAGTTGAATATGCTGAGATTGAACTAGTATATTGGAGATGAACAAGAACCATAGAGTAGGTAGTAATAGAGACAGGGAAGACATATAGGCACAAGATGCTGTTTCCTTTGCCTTACTGACTTTTCCTAAGTTTACAGGACAATCCATAAACAACAAAGTTGTATACATGTCCATAATATGTTCCCTATACTAGGATTTTCTCTATATTTTTTCCGATACTTACTTTCCACTAATTTCTCCAATTAGGAAGAAATTAGAATTCTTAAACTAGATATTTATTTCATATACATAGTTTTATTAAACATTCTTAGCCTAAACAGTTTAAAATTTAACAGATAGGTACAATAAAATTTAAAATTTCTTAGAACAATCGAAATAAGTATGATTGATCCCATATCAACAATTTGAAATTTAGACAAACAATAAACAAATTTTTACATATAAAAATACATAATGTCATGGAATACATAAGAATTTATTGAATTTAGTAAATAGAATAATAATTGGAAACATTTTTACAATAAGTAATAAATAAAGAAAATATACAATAACAGTACCTATACGACTAGATTGTCACTGAATTGTAATATTACATTGTTCATTATTGAAATATGTAATTAATATTCACAATAATTCATTTAAAATGTTCCAGTATTTTCTTAGAACGATTATTAGATATTTTCAGTTCAATTTCTATTTTTCTGATATTCTAGTAATCTATTAGACTAACAGCGTTTTAATAGTTTATTTAGAATATGTCTACATAATATTGTATACCCGTAAATTAATTTAATTAACTGAATTTACGAAAACTGACATTATAATATTGGCCGCCATTTTTTGATCTATAGTCTATGGCGGAAGCAATAAAATGTATAAAAAATTAACAAAACAGGATAGAGATAGAAATACACCTTTTTTGCATCTTAGGGCTTTAACTTAAAACTTACTACTAGGTAATATTTGAACATATTAAAAGGTTCACTGATTGATCAGACAGGCGGCAATACTAATTGTCAGTTCGTTCCATCGCTTCCAACGTAGTTAACTAACATAGCTTACCCTATAATTTATCAATTTCGCAAGGCCGATAAATCACTTTATTTTTTTTTATTTCTCGTTTAATTTTAATCGTTCCAATGTTTCGATAATAAGAATAGATACAGCTACCAATTCGATCAAAAATTGGCATTTTTAACAATTCCTTCCTTGGTCTGAGACCGCAACACCCTTTTTTCCAACGTAACATACCTACCGTAAATTAATCGATAAATAATTTTTAATAATAAATTCAAGAATTAAATAATCTTACTTATTTAAATAGCACGCTTGTTTTTGTCTCATTCTTAATTTAAATCTTTCTACACATTGACAATCTTACTTTCCCGCCAAGCGTGCCATCAAAACAATCTTAGAATTACGTATAATTAAAAAATTTAAACATCAAAACTTCATACACGATTTTATAATAATAAACAATTAAAAATAATTTTAAAACTCTTAATTATATTTAACTACCAATCCTAATTTTAAAATGTTAAATTTTATAGTTTTTTTTTATACTAGAGAGATCACTTAAGTCATTCACTCACTTTTCAAGTCATTCGCTCCAAGAGTGGAGCTATGTCAGGGTACTTTCATGCAAAGAACTCCGTTTTTGTTGTCATGTCGAACTCGGACTCCTCCATCTTGTACATCTCGATCAGCTAGAAATATTCCCAAAGTTCATTAATAAAACTAAAAGATAATGAAGCATTTATTAAGGCTTTTTTTATGGCATAAGCCGGTAAACGAGCAGACGGATCACCCGATGGTAAGTAATCGGCGTCGTCCATGGACACCTGGAACACCAGAGGCGTTACAAGTGCGTTACCGGCCTTTTGGGGATTAGGAGTTTGAGGATCGTTGGGGATTCAGGAATTGGGGAGATTGGGGAAGGGGAGGGTAATTGGGCCTCCTAGGGTAACCTTACTCTCAAGACGAAACACAACGCAAGCGTTGCTTCACGTCGGTTTTCTGTGAGGCCGTGGTATCACTTCGGTCGAGCCGGCCCATTCGTGCCGAAGCATGGCTCTCCCACACTTATAATTTTTCTATTTTCATAATTTACTCGAACTTGCCACAGTTACGTTTATTGCTTTACCCTTCTTTTCGAGATTGAACTGTTTAGGTGTCATGTCAAACTAACTTTTTCATACGAAATTAAACCTTAACTTCTGAGTAATACGTACGTTATCAATATCCTTAGAGAGTTCCTCCATCTGCTTGTCATGGGTCACCTTAAGCTTTTCCTTCTCACGGTTTTGCTTAATGGTTTGAGTCTGAAAGCACGTTTAATTAAAATTAAAAACAATTACAGTTTCAAAAATTACTTATTGATTGCCCAAAAATTTCTATTATTTTAAGGAGTTATGCTAAGGAGTTCTAAGTTCTTACCTTCCTCTCATCCAAGAACTTCTTGGTGTTGTTCTGTTTCTTCTCCCTAAGACGTCGGTCCTTCTCCTGTTTTGTCTTCAAGGTCTTGTCATTGGCGACCTCCTTGCTGGTCTCCATGCTAATCTTGGCTTGACGGGCATTCATTTCTTTCAGTTCCCTTTAATTTTTGGAGATAGGAAATATATTATTAACTTAATTGTAAATCATGCTGGACTTTGGGTTCCCTATGAGTCTTCTATAAGAGTGTTTCTACCTGGTCTGTGGTCTAGGTAGTCTTATGGCCGTTTCCTCCAGTCACCTCTAAACCATCTCATAACTAAAAGTTACTTAACATAACGAACCTGACATAGCATTTAAACTAAGCCCTTGTAGAATTAGGTGTCACTTATAGTTTGGTGAAAACAAAAGTTTCTTTAAATATCACCTAGTTTAGGTTAGGGGTTTCTTAAAATTTAGAAGAGGCTTATGAAACGAGCATTAGATAGATGTCGTATATTTTATATAGTTTAAGATGTATATATTTATATAGTTACATAAATTAAGCGTGGGAGTATCCATACTATACAGGGTGAAATTTTCTAATGCCAAGTGACATCAGAGTAAACTTCATGAATTGAATGAAAGAAGTTGAGACAAGAGTTGGAGTTCAGAATACGATTTATACGAGTCGTGGTGACCCGGACGTTAAGACACCCGCTTCTCATGTATGAGGATGCTGGTTCAAAACCTACCAACGGCAGGTCCCAAAGTGACTTTCTCCGAGTTATAGAGGTATATACTTTCTAAGAATTATCTAGACACCACTGACAAACGGTGAAGAAAAAAATAGTAAGGAAACCTGGGCTTATAATTTCTAATTATAAGTTTGACATCGCCAACCCGCATTGAGCAAGCGTGGTGATTAATGCTCAAACCTTCTCCTTGTGAGAAGAGGCTTTGCTCAGCAGTGGGCATTCATTGGCTGTTGATGATACGATTTATCACCACAATACGTTATTAAAGGCTACTAGAAATTAATTCGTTAGAAGAAAAAATTTGTGTATCCAAGAAAATGGCGCCCGTTTCGAGCAATTCATTTAGAATTTCATTGTTTTCCTTTCATTTAATTTATGTAGTAAAGAGATTTCATCCTTATAGACCCTAACGATGGATATAATAAAAATAGGTTCAGGAAATTTTGGTCGGGTCGATAACCGTGTGCGGTAGGTGCATTTTTAAAAATCTTCATAAGCAGTGTTCTTTCTTTTGAAAAATAAAGGAATGTTTTCTTTGAGTAAAACTTTCGATCTAAAGCATTATGAGTACTTCCCCTTCACTCTGTATATGTGAGAATAGATGTTCCGACTTCCGAACATCATCATGTAGCCATAATCCTGGCAATGTTTATTCATAGTGTATTCGCAATCATAAAACGAGTGATGTTTGCAATCCATCACAGATTCAGTGTTTATGATAGCTATGGAATATGTAAACCAGTGCAAAATTATTTATGTTGCGAGTTCATAATAAATGATACTGTAGATAAATTATATGTGTCGTAAAAAGCTGTTTCAAATATGTTTTTTTACTATAACTGTTCTATGTATCTTACGTTGTATTATAAGAGACTTTAGACCTTCTTACTTCCGATTCGCCATACCTAATCCAATAAGTGGGTAATGGATCTAGTAAGTCGTACCTAATACATCTGGACGTTAATTGGTTAATGCTATTTTATTTTGAACTCTAAATTAACTTTGTT